AAGGAGGGGAGAGGATAAAAGCAACGTCGTTTTGGGAGAGGGAGTAGCGTTTTTGGAGAGAATAAGCGAGGGAGTGGATTTGAGAAACGAATTGAGAGTAAGCCAGCGTTTGGCCGGTGGTGGCATTGACGACGAAAGTGGTGATGCCGCCGGTGGAAGTGGAATGGAAGACGGAGAGACAATACTCTGCGACGGAAAGAGGTCGATCGGTTGGCGGGAGAGGGATGGGTGGTTTCAGGCTACTGTAAGTTCCTGTTTCGTAACAGAATCCGGTGTTTGGATCCATTTGAACGGTTGGGATTTGCTTCTGCCAAGGAAATGGAGATGTGAGTTGATCGGCAATTCAGAGCGGTTAGTACCTGTATACCGTTTTCATTTGAAGGTTGTGGCTGTCAGTGATTTTTATATGGAAAGCAGATAGAAACTGGCTGGAAGAGGCTGTTGGGTTTAGTTAACGACTTTTAAATGAATTACGTCTCAAATTTTGGTTTTTGCGACGCCTTTGCTTAATTAAGTAACACCAACCGACAATGATTGAAGACTTAATAGAGTTATCTTTTCGGACTTTTTCATGAAAATAAAATCTTAAATTTCACTACTTACTACCTACGACCAACGCAATTTTTTATTTTTTGTTTCAATTCTAGTAAAAGTCTATACTTTTAAACTATATATTTAGCATTTAAATTTCTCAGGTGGGGCAATCATTGCTGTCATCTGTTACTCTACGAGGCATTGTTTGAACTTTGGAAAATACTTGTTTATCAAGTGATAATTAATTAATTTGAATAACAATTAATCCTCATTTATTTTACTTCTTTTTCTTTATTTTCTGATTGAGGATAGTTTTTGTTTTATGGTTTCGATTAAGTTTATTAATTTTTTTAAAAACTATTTATCATTTAATACATTACTCTCATCAATTATTTTTTAAAAAAACATATTAATTACAAAAATATTTGAATTAAAAAGTGAAGAGGATTTAGACAACAAACTGATTGATGTTTGGATGAGCGGATTTGAGGAGTTAGGGTCAAAGCGCCTTTTATGACTGACTATTTTGGGTTTGACCGATTCTCTTTCGGTTTGACTTGTTGTTAGATGGTTGTCGTGACTGCCAAATGGTTGGCTTGGCTGGTTATTATGGAAGAGATGTTGCGTAGGGTCACACGGGCATGGCCCCATTTGCATTCATCTTTTGCTGTGTCGAAACACAACAGCCGGTGAACTTTGCTTCAGATGTCTGGCCCCTTCTTAATATCAAGACAACGAGATTGATTGAAACATCTTTATCAATCATTAATTGCCTCGGTCTTTCCCACTATAAATCAGATATTTGAAATAATTATTATACTTTTAGCATTTTATATTCACTCAAAGCCATACCTAATACTCGTATTTATTTATATTATTATTGCAATATGCAACTCCCTCTTTGATTTTAGTGTACTTTATATTAAATTTTTTTAATCAAATTGGTATATCATGATTTTTAATGTCAAAAAAGTGAAAGATAATCATAGAAAATCATTTTCAAACATATAAAAGAAGATTAGGAGTTTTTTTTTTTTTAAAGAAAGAGGGCATAATTTTAGGATATATAAAAAATGGACAAAAAATAGGATTAAGAGAGTATAAGAAGTGTTGTTCACTATTTTAGAATTAAGAAAAAAAGTAATTTTAGATTTTATTTTTACTTGGATTTCATAGCACACATGCTCAAAGTGAGAATCAAAAAATTACCCAATAATTTTTTTCTTAAAAATGACTTTTAATATATATATATATATAATGATAAAAAGAAAAAACAAGATAACAAATCTTTGATATAAAAAAAAAAGGTGAAAGTGGGTTAGTATTTATCAAATTGGATAGTGTTCCATCTAAAGTTAAATGATTGAAAACAAATTACAAACTGAAATAACAACTTCTTTTCTATAAATGATTGATTTATAAATTATAACATAACTGATTTCAAAAATAAAATGATAACATGATTTTTTGTCTACACGAATATTATTTTTCTAAACTTATAAAGTGATGTCGTGGTTATGGGTTAAGATATCGGTAGTCCTAAGGCATCTATGTTAGGGACAAATAATTAGTCACAAACCCTGTGTTTTGCATGTTAGTACTGTCTACTGATACTTTTTTTTTTTTAAACAAAATATTTGATTTTGATTATTATTATATTATATTTCTTAAATTATAAAAAATTATTTTACAATATCATATGATAATAAAAAAAATATAAATGAATAATTTTTCTCTCTTAAGGTTTCAGAAAGATGCGAGATTTGGTGTGAATTTCTATTCTTTCAATAAGAACTTATTCTCTTACCAAATTACTCAATCTCTTTTAAAATTTTAGAAAAAAAATTATTTTGGATGATTGATGAGGAATGAGAAAAGAACATAAAATCGTGAAAATGATTTTGAGAGATACGTGAAAATATTTTGTTTTTTATTTAATTAATTATTAAAAGTTTTTAATATTTAATTTTAAATTTTTAAAATTTTTAATTTTATCCCATAACATTTGGTACATTAAATATAAATCTTATTTTTTTAACAAGTTTTTTTTATTATAATTTTATTAAGTCGAACGGTGGCGTTTCGACTAAATAAGGGTTTTAAGGGTTTTTGCCTGCTAGGCTGACGCAAAAACTCTGAATAGCCGTTTAACAAAGCAGAGGATGCCTCGCACGACCACCGTCGAGTGCCCTGGTTGCCCTCCGTTTCGAGCCCTGACCTTCGATGCCCTTGGTCTCATCAAAGGTTTTAATTTCTATTAACTTAACCAACGCTAATTATTTAATTCAAACGATTGAACTCTTCATTAGTTTTTTCTTTTATTATCATTGGTGAATAGTAATCGAAGCTCGAGGCAAAGAAGGAGGGGTTCCCAAAGTGGTAGACAGATGGGGAGATCCTGACGCTTCCAAATGCGTTCTTGCTGCTTCCATTGATGACCGCAAGACCGACCCGGTTAGTTACATATATATATATATATAAAGAAGCAAAGTGGGTATTGAGAAATATTGCTTTTTTATTGAAATTTTGATTCTTCTATTGCAGTTATTAGCTGTTGCAAGAAAAAGTGGTATGGTAAGTAACCTTCATCTTTCTTCTCCTGTCCTAGTAGTTCCAGGACAGATTGAGGTATTGAGAAATGTTGCTCTTTTTTTTTTTGTATTGAATATTTCTTTATTTCTTTGTGCAATATATACTGCAGGTTGAGGTACTTAATCCTCTTAATGGTGAACTTTCTGTTACGGTTTCAAATGTTAATAGTGGTAGTACTAGACCAGAAGATGATGCTATTGTGGGTTTGCATTTATTCAGAAGACAGAGGCTGGAGTTAACATCCAGGTATAGATGTATTCTTATTATTTTCTGGATTTCTATCAGTGTTAAATGGAAATCAATATGGGTCCTCCTCCCACTCTCACTCGGACTAAACTGTGCTTGCCTGTTATTTCTTATTTTTTTATTTATGTAATTTACCGTAGATACTGACATAAATGGTTCTTGGTAGTCACAATTCCTCTACTTGGATGACATTATTGATCTCTATAAATATTTTATCATTATTAGGTCATGCACTTTGCTCACATGTACAACAAAAGGAAATGCGAGCATAAGGTCGGTTGAAATGACTGATTCTTCAGCAGATTCTGTTGCCTCAAAAACGTGGAGTGTATGCACCTCTGGTAATATCTCATGTTCTCAAGTGGATGGAAGTGAAAGCTATGCGATATTTGGAGGGTGAGTGTGTTTATGTTGTATGACTCTGCAATCTAAGCTTCAGACTTGATTTTATATTCATTTGCTGGTAGGGTATTTTCATACTCCACTGGATGATTATCAATAATAGTTTGGTAAATAATATCGAATTCTTTTCCAAGTCAGGAAGGGTGTTGAAGTTAATATGTGGGATCTAGACAAATGTACTCAGATTTGGACTGCAAAACCTGTGAGCCTTTTGATCCTCACTAAATTAATTTAAATAAAATATTTATCTTTTAGCAACTGCTGCTTTTTCTCATTTATCTTAACTTTTCCCATTTTGGACAGCCTCCTAAGAACAGCCTTGGTATTTTTACCCCTAGTTGGTTTACATCTGCAACATTCCTCAGCAAAGATGATCACCGTAAAGTTGTGGCTGGCACCAACAGCCACCAGGTAACTTTTTACAGCCATCTGGCAGTCCTTGAACATATATGCTGACATTTTAATGTAATTTTGATTGTGCAGACATATATACATTTTTATAAGTTCTCTTCTGAAGGAAACTTTTGTGCTTGACTGCATATTGCCAGTTTCTACAACTATTTTTGATTCTTAAATATTGATGCATGTTGGTTTGAGATGTTCAAAGATTAATTTCAGTTAAATTTGGAAAACAAGTTTTGAATCTTTTTTGGGTGTAGGTTTATGTTTATATGCAAGTTACATCAATTTAATTTTATTTTTATTTGCAATCATGACTGTGGTGGACCTAAAGTTTAGGTCTGCTCCAGGAATACAGATTTGAGTCTGTTATCATAGCAATGCATGGGATCCTTGTAATTTCTTTTTTCTTTTTTTGAAAAGCTATCCTTGTATTTTCTTGACTCTGGATAACCTTTTTTCTCTTATGGTTTCTGTTGACAGGTTCGCCTTTATGATGTTTCTGCTCAACGAAGACCAGTTATATCATTTGACTTCAGGGAGACCTCCATAAAAGCAGTTACTGAAGACCTAGATGGCCATACAATCTATATAGGGAATGGCTCTGGTGACCTTGCTTCTGTGGATATACGCACAGGTACAAGATTGATTCTATATGCATGTTCAGCGGTACTTCATGCCATTTTGCACTTTTGCGTTTCTGATTCTTTGTAGGTCAGCTCTTCTACGAGTTTAAGTTGACTTTTTACATTATACTAGTGATTTTTTCTGGTAAATTTATTCAACCTTTTGGAGATCTAGGTCAGAATTCACACTTTTATTATGGTTGCATGTTCCATATTTTATACCTTATGGCCAAAATCAGAGCAGTTTGAGGATTACCTCTATTGAATATTGTGTCCGTTAGAAGTAGGCTTAAAGCATTCTTTGAGTTCTGTAGTTGTAACAGATTATGTTCATGTACATTTTAGTCTACTATCTTGGTGAGAACATTGGCTTGTTGTCAGTTGAAATTGCGCTATCTATTGTCTACTTGAGGTTTCAACCCATTTTCTAAGATGCCTCATTTTCAAAATTGAAGATTTGTTGTATACCTAAATAAAATGTAGATTGGACTTGCTGGTTTCCTGGAGAGGATCCAAAACAAGTAGAAGTGGATGTCCTGTTGTTGCATCTGTTCTTAATTGACTTTTGCTTAAATGATTTGGTGTGTTCCTTTCCCTGTAATTCTGTTAATGCTGGAAGAATTTCCTTATAGGTAAATTGTTGGGATGCTTTTTGGGAAAGTGTTCTGGAAGCGTCCGATCCATTGCTCGGCACCCTGAACTTCCAGTGATAGCATCATGTGGTGAGTATATGATATAGTGTTTTGTGAAGCTAAAGCTTTTTCTAGCATCTATGATACTTGGTGTGTTAACATAATTTTGCAGGCTGTGTTTGCATGCACAGTCTGCACTTTGGGAAGTTTTTTTTGCTGGCAGTTCTTATGAAAGATGGTTAAGCTCTTGGAGATGATTTTGTTGCTTGTAAGAGCTAGAAAGGAAGAAAAAGGATTTTTAATTTGTCCCAGATGATGCTCGAAGCTTTTACTCTTTATCTGTTTTTCCTAATTTTGCCATGCTATCAATGTTTTCTTTCCTGTGTCAACTTTAAATAATTTTATTTTTGCTTTTCGAAATTTGGTGGATTTGCAATTAGCTTCTCAAGCTTGTGTTATTTCTAGGTTTGGACAGCTATTTGCGCATTTGGGATATAGGAACAAGGCAACTTCTTTCATCGGTATGTTCTGTTCAGAGATAGAGAGTTAAATGCACCTTGCATCTGATGTGCCACTTCTTGTTGTTCATGTTTATGGTAAAGTTGCATAAAAATACACTATACCAAACACTTTAACTGCCTACATTTTTTGGTGCAGGTTTTCCTGAAGCAGCATCTTACAAAAGTTGTTTTTGATACAAATTTTACTGAAGGTCACTTCTCACTCAAATCTATAGTGTTGACAAAAGCTTAATTTCCATGTTCTGTGTCACTGGTTATCAATATGGCATCATGTTGTGTTCGTTCTGGGTCATACTGCATTTAGTGAAAAAGAATTTTGGCTGGAAGCATGCTGCTTTTAGTGTTTTGTAAACAAGCAGGTGTTAGCCTTGTTTTTTGTCCACAATTTTTTTAACTTCCAAAAGCAAGACCCCAGTCAATGGCCTCTGGCCAATCACATACTTCGTCTGACAATGCAAGGGTATGACTAAATATTAGGTTCAAACAAGTGAAGCAAGGAGGGGTTGCCTTTCATGTATGAAAAGAGTGTTATAGAGAATGTATGATCATCACCATAAGCTGCCAATAAGTTGCAATCATGCCATTACTTGAAGGTGGAAAAATTCAAATGCATCTAGGCTCAAATAGAAAGAAAAAACGAATGAGGGAGAGGATGATTTCCTAAAGGTTTCTGTTTTCCTTGAGGCTACCTGAAGATGGCAGATTGTTGAGTGTAGAGTTTGAGAAAATTTGTACTTTTTCTTTTGGGGATTAATAGAAGGGTTAGGGAGTGTGGAGTAGGTGGAGCCAACAATGTTATGGTATAAGGTGACCATATTTCGTACTGAGTTTGGCTGCTAATGCATGGACATTCTATTTTATGCAGAAGTTAGACACACTGCGGCAGATTCAGCACTGCATGAAGCACAGAACATAGGTGAAGTCCAATCCGCAGATGAAACAGAAAAACTGCCTACAAAAAGGAAGAAATCATCCAAAGAAGATAGAGGGAGCAGAAAGAAGGCGTCTAAAGATAAGGATGGAAGCAAGAAGTTGAAATCCAAGAAAAGAAGCAAAAGCTTAGAGAATGAGTTTGCTGATGATGCATAGATGAAGTATTGCTCACACCGGAAGGCACTGGCGTCAAACATCATACATTGTGATCAGGAAGGCATGGTAAAGAAGCAGGCAGCAGATGGTTGAAATTTAAGCAAAGGAAGTTGCTGTATGTCAGGTTTGACAGAAAATATGCGAGCCTTACAAGAGGACTTAAGATTTCTCCAAAAGAAAATGTGTTAGGATAGTGTAATTGATAGTATTAAATTGGTTTCTAAGTTATTGAAAAGAGCCTGTATTTCATCTGAGTGAGTCATGCAAAACTCATTTTTGTTTTCCAATCTAATGCCATCATATTTTAACTCCAGCATTGTGTTTTCCTAACAAGTTACAGTTTGTTGTGAACAAATGTTTAGTTTCATCATCTGTCTAAGCATAGATCAATTTTTTTTCCCGAGTTAGTGCTATTGTCTATGATCATAAGCATTGATTTTGCAAAACAGTTTGAAATTCTTTTGAAAAATGTCTAGTTTCATAATCCCGCTTGAGAAATGCAACATTATCGAACTCCGTGGGTAGTCTCTTTTAGGTTACCTTGTAGAGCGTTCTTGAATCTTGGCTTATCTGTGTTGCTAATTCGAGAAAAATGCACCTTCAAAGGTAAGTGGTACAGTCTCATTTGCCTATAACACTGATGAACTTGTTTGCTTTTGGTTTTCACTGAGCAGAAATCAAAATGCTTTGAGTTTTTGGTTTCATGCATTGCGTAGAGATTACAAGATCAAAGGTAACATTCATTACGCACCTTGTTAAGTCCTAAGAAATAAACAGGCACAACCCAAACACTTTCCCTTCAGAAAGGACATGCTATTGCTTCTCTTCATGAATATGAAACCATCCATTCCAACCCCAGAGCATAAAGTCCTTGGAGTTACTACCTACTCAAGTTGTAAGCAAGAGAAACAACTCCACCAGCCACGATGGTTTCTTCTAATCAAATAAAGTCACACAATCTGGGGATTGTACGTCAAATTTGCTTATGCAAATAGTAGAGCTGTAAGGGCTGGATGAAGAAAGTTGGTAACAAGACAATGAAGTGAAAATTCAGCCAAGGTCAACCAGGCCATTGCCTACTTATGTTAGTAAAGGGCATTTGATGTATTGTACATTCTGATTGGGTTAAAGAGAAACCCGGAGCCAGGTGAGCACTTGCCAAAAGAATGGCGTGGCAAAGTTGTGCTTCCATAACTTCAGCTAAGTTGCTGTTAGACAATTTATTTAGAAGCCAATTGTACATGCAAGAATTCCTTTGTCCATCCTTGCATTCGGATAATTACCTATTTATGATCAGCTAAATCAATGGAAAGTTTATTCAATAGCACGATGCCCAAATCATTACCAGCGATGATAGATTTCTAAGCTATTCTACCTCTCACATGGAATGACAAAGTGGGCCAATCAACATTCACGTAATAGTGTAATTGGCTTTGCGGAGCTCTAAGCTTGCAGTCAAAGGAATGTGAGTTGATTCAAGCAAATTCTTTATACGGTAAGTTGGGAATACATACTTCAGGGATCACAACAAAAATCACAGAAACTCAGAATGAATAAAAGCTGCTTTACTGTGATGAGGCTTCCTCTTTCTTCTCTGACAAATACCTAGAGAACGTTAGAAAATACATTAGATCTAGTGACACTTGTCTTTTATTGTAAGAATCCATGTGTTTTAAAAGCTCAGAGAAATAATATCTACTATACCAAAACAAAACTATAAGCAAAGATGTAGCTGTAAGTAAGTTCCAGACGTTCAAAAACGGCCCTCATACATGGTGGACATTATGGAAAACATTAACTGAAAGAACTTACTATGCTTCTTAAATTCCAATAAAAATTATAAGAAACATTATAAATGCTGTGTAAGCCAAACCAAATGCCTTTTCTAAAATCAGCAAAGTTGTCTCTTTCCTTTATAATAGCAAAATTTCCTGGTTAAAGCAGAAGCATGATCCCAATTATTTTATCATTGCTTGTTCACAAGCAACAACATTTTTAAGAGAACACTAACAATAGTTTCATATGGGAAATTCAACTTTGACAGCAACAAACTGAACAAGCCCTGGTGCTTAAATAGTAAAATCATCTGGCACTACAGCTAGTAAATGATTTGGTCCTGACTTCGAATATTTAGTGACACCATATATGAGAACATTTCAGTATCAGAACAAAATCTCCCATGAGCATTTCTAAAGATGGTCAACTGAGGTCAGCATAAAGAAGAGACAGGAAAATATAGTTGGGTAAAATAAGATGGGAAACCCAATGGCCGTTGCATAGAAAAGGAATTAGCTCAATGTGAACCATAAACACCATACTTACCCCTGAGCTCTTGCCCAACGGGAAAGTTGGTAGAGCTGTACAGTCTCATTTGAAGCATGGCATGCAAGGAGTAGATAGTTTCGAGGCTGAACCATCCATGCAAACCTCATGAATAGTGCAGAATAGACACACATTGCTGTGAAACAACACAGAAGTAAACAGTTAGAATCTTGGCCAGCTAACAAATACCAAGAAAAATCCTTTGTTCTTTCAAAGTATATTTTATTTTTAACCTGTTGTCATGTTGCCAGAAATCATTTCTGGGGGCTTCTTCATGTCCACCAACCCCTGAAATATTTACCAATAATGTTCAGACAACAGTCATAAAGCACTAAGTTGTATCCTCTTCAGATCCAGCATAATTTTCTCCAAAAGGAGAACAACTAAACATAGCAAAACCTATATTTCTATAATCGAAAATTGAAGGTAGTTAAGCATACAGCAAGAACAAATCCCCAATTGGCAACAGGGCCCCAAAAGTGAGTTGTTTTCGGACCGACTGGACTGTTCAGGAATGCTCGGAAGGAAGACGCCATCTGTGACAAATGCTGCTGAAAATATCTCTGCAATGGTTGAAGACATGTAAGTTGGAAAAGAATTATTAAAAATTATCAAATTTCAAAATTTAAGTACATGCGGCTGCAGAAACTGAAGGTTATAATGATCATTTGAAAACAAAGCAACAAATATATGTAGAAGCTAGGTTAATTTTCAAATTATTCTCGGCAAACAACAAAAATTATGCCTCACTTCCATCTCAGCCTGGCTGTTTGCATCTGTCCACCCCATGCCACCTCCCAGACAATATTTATCCTTTTCATGAGTCAAACTCTACAAGTCATTTAAGACTCTGCTTGGTTAACCCATTCCATGCAAGCAAAGAGCTTGGCCTCAAGGTCTAAGCTATTAACCAATTCAGTTGCTGTAATCATCATATATAAATAAACCTATTCATAAACCCATAAATTAATAGCTTAAGCTTTCAGCTTGAATGGTTCTTGACATAATATCAGAGTCTATTAAACCAGTTAGCTTGTGTGTGAGTGGGAATGCCAGCGAATAAAAACTATCTTTGGGCAATTGTACAGTCTACGTAATTGCCATTGAAAGTGCAAAGAAATCTCTATACTTAAAATAAGTCAACCTAACTCAACATTACATCAGGCAAACACAGTGTACACAAAACAGTCAGATTGATGCGCTCTCTTTCTATCTCTCACACACACTTGTTTCGTTAGAGCAGAAACCGAGGAGTCTACAAACATAGAACATAAAACTGAAAGCAAGCACCTTTGACTTTTAACATTTGTACAAACATGGACAAAACTTGGTCAAAAGTTAGCCAGGGCTTCTCATGAACACAATGGCTAAAATCCCACCATAATTATACTCATTAACTAAGAAATCAAAAGAATCGTTCTCATATAAACATAAAAACTGAAATCCAAGATACCTAATAATAATAATAATAATAATAAAGAAACACTTTACATCGAAAAACATATTTCCAAATTATTTTGGAGATAAAAATCCCTAACTCATATAGGAACACAGAAAAAAAAAAGATAGCTACTCATTGCAATGATCAGGAAATGCCAAAGACTCGAACTTTAAGTGAAACTCTATAACAAAAATTAAATATTAAAATAACAAAAAATTGAATCGAAGAGGAAGTCACGATTCAGCTAAGAATATCAGTAAATCACAAATCAGACGGCGACGACGAAGATGAAGATGATGTGTGTGAAGATATAGAGGAGCACCTGTCTAAAAGATCTAGCCGGGGAACGTAACGAGGATCGGCGAGTCCGGGGCGGGGCTGGCGCAAGAAAGAGTGGAAGATAGAAATGTTTGGTGGGAGAGAAAGTAAGCGGAATTTGATTCGGATCTTCTGACTTTCTGACTTCTGCGTTGGAGCTGTCATCCTGTGAGATAGGGTTTAGCGGATAATTTGACACGTAGCTTAGGGGCCTTAATTGGATCCAATTGAGAATTTTTTTATTTAATTTATTTAACCAACACTAGAAAATACACGTATCTTTGGCTGCGTGGAGCATTTCCATTGGTTACGACTTCGAAGGATGTTTGGTTTAAAAGGGATATACGCATCTTTGCCCCGTCGAGTTCACTTGGTTTGGATTTGGGACAGAGAAATTCGAGTATAATTACAAATTTGAATAAAAAAAGTACTTACTTATGTCAAATCATATGATAGATGTAAATTTACTTATTTTAAAAGATAGTATCTTAGTAAGTTTATTGAATAACTTAATACAATTTTAATTTTTGATAAAATTATACATCAATCGATAAGTTAAATATTTAAATATAATACAAATTTAGTTATGCTTATATTAAAATTTAAATTCAAACGACTTTTGTTGGATTAAGAAAATTCAAAAAAAATGCACAAAAATGCACATCAAAATAATGGTGAAAATAACAACACTTATACTCCATTTAATTAGCAACGATCATGTTAAGTATATTTTGGATTTTAACAAGAAATAAAATATATTTTGTTCCACTAACATTGTCAAAACACAAAATATATATCGGTTATATATATTGAAAAAAATAAAGATATAATTATAAATGATTTACTTGTCAAAGTAATTAGATATAAGGTAAGATATAAAAATAAATAAAATAATTTTATATTTTTTTATTTATTGATATGAAATTCAACAAAGTTTTGAAAACTTAAAAAATAATAAAAAGTGAAAGATATTTATCAATCAAAAATTTGTTTTTTATTGCATTCTAGTATTTTACTAATCGATTAAACTATGATTTTTTTGTTTTAAAAAAATAAGTTCGAAATCTTTTTTCTTTTAAAAAAATTTGTTTTCTATTTGATCCGTTATTTTTTTTCATTAAAAAAAAAGATGTAAAGCATAACAAAAGTAAATAGTATAAGAAGAACCATTAAAGAGGAACGAAAAAGTAATTTAAAGAAAGAAATGTCCAAGAAATAAAGTAGTGAGACTA